AAGAGAAACACCAACGCAACGGCCATTTCCTTAACTCACAGTACATAGTGAGGGCCAATTGGACTTCGGCAATTAAAAATCTGGCCTTGGGACTAGATTATGGTTGCTACTCCTCGCTGTGTGGTGAATGGTGTGTGTTTGGGCAAGGGTGCCGTGGGCGTGTGGGCACTGTGGGCTGCTTACTTGGTGAATGAATCAGTCTGGTACTTGTGCTCGTGGTGAGGGGACGCAGGGGTGTGAGGCGACGCGGGAATGAGGGGAATGGAGTTCGTAGGGCAATGCTCGAGGTCTCAGAGATGGGTGTGTGTGAGTGAGAGAGGCGGAGAGAAAACTGAAGTTTGCGTGCGGTGTTAGAAGAATGAAGTGACGTGGATCATAGGATCATTAAGAGATAAGGAATAAGATGACAGAAATATTGATATGATACATATGATGGGCCGCAAACGAGACGAATGAAAGAGAAATATGATACTGAACTGATGGAAGACAGAGAAATAGGGAGCAGCGTTAGTGGCAAGGATGGTATACGAGTGGACTGATAGCTTGTAAACAAGAATTAAAGATGAAATAAACAGATACGACTCATACAAGATTGGACTTCCTTGGAGTTTTTATTTGATAAAAAATGTTCTGAGAACGAGTAAAACCAAATAAAAAATGAAAAGAAAGCTTGCCGCAAGGTTAGGCACCGCTGAGTGACATGTGCCTAAGTGACCGTAAGGAGGGGCATGAGGGCGGTGAAGTTGGGGGAATATGAAAGGCATCGGACTAGTAACACGAGAAACAACAGGGCATAAAAATGTAGCTGTAGACAAGCTTTGTCACGAAGGATTACAGGGCAGGGAGTAAATGATTTATGTAAGTTAAGTAAACGGTGGGCGGTGTTTATGGGGCCACTAATCTATACATCATCGCAGATGTTTACGTTAGCCTTATTTAGAAGCGGGTGTAGATAACGTACAACAACTTGATTTCGTTTCCATTAATTATCCCAGTATGTTAAAGTCATGTATTGATTAATACATTACCTAAAAATTGCAGTTAGTCATTTAGCTTAACACCAAACCATAAAAATCAGAAACGTTTCAACAAGGCTGCAGAAACACACCAGGAAGGAGAGGACGACATTCGAGGAAGGGGACGGGAGATGTGAGTGACTATAATGAGGGGAGGCACGATTGTGAGGGGAATGTGCGGTTGATAGATATCTCTCAGTGAGGGAGCAGTGGGCCCGGCATTGGGTTACTCCGGGAAAGGGGAAAAGGGCAGACAAAGATGGAGAAAAATTTGGTGACCTAACGAGAATGGAGAGATGGGGTTAGGCACTCCTCTCTGCTAATATGCTGACAATAGCGTCAACAAGTGGAGGAGGCAGCGGAGGAGGGCAGAGCGGGTATCAATGGGTAGAGGGAGTGGGGGAGAGAAAGAGAGGAAGGGAGATGAGCCGAGTGCAGGGAGGAGGAAGGCAGGAGTAAGAGTGGTTGAGTGAGGCAGGCAGGAAGAAAAACAGGGAGAGAGTGACAGGAAGCATAGAGTAAGCCCAAAGTGCAATAGATTAGTGAGGGATACGGGATATTACAGAAAAACAGTAATGACAGACAAATAAAGCAATAATTAGGAGGGTAGATAAGTGAAAAAAATGCAGACAGAAAAACAAACACAAAGCTTGAACAGCTTCACGTCCCTCCTTGCCACTTCTCCGCTCCTGGCCTCATCGTGCCTGGACCGGTGTGTTGTAGTGTCCTCAGGTTTTGGATGCAGACACAGGAGGACTTCAGTGCAGTGCAATCATGCCTGCAACGTTAATTAATGTCGAGATGACGATTGCAGCTATTAATGACGATCTTGACGTGGAGAAAGAGAGACCTAATGTGTAGCTTTGTTAATCGGAAGGATTTTTTTTGAATGCAGAATTAGTGTGACGAGTTTGTTTACACTTTTAATGTGAGGGTATTAATGAGCCACTGCTAAATTGCAGATGAAAACTGTATGAAACTCATCGTAGGAAGAATTTGCTTTCAAACTGTTCATTTTGGTGAATTCTATCAGTTCATCTGATGTATTATACTGATACGTCGAAAACTAACATTGTTAATGTCACAATATTAGAACACATCTGCTCTGGAAAGAAATAAAAACAACGAGATTAAATCACAATGAAGTAGTAGACACTCCTGATATTGACTTTCTAGAAGAGAGGAAGAGGGAAAAGGGAAAGAGAGAGAGAGATACTGGAAACGAAACGTACCAACCGAGACGAACAATAGAGAAGAGGAACATGCGTTAGTCTCGGTAGACAATTGGCCGGATGTGTCGTCTCTCCACCGATGTTTCTTGCGTCCTGGCTCGTAAGCAGCTTTGAGAGGGGCACCTATTACACCATGGAGGGAGTGCAGAGGGAAGAAGGAGAGGGAGAAGACGTAGGGAGAGGAGGAATAGAGAGAGAAGTGGAGGTGAAGAGGCGACATGGCAGTGGGGGCGAAGGAGGAGGCGGAGGACACGCAATAGAGAAGAGGAGCGGAGGGATCTGGGAAGAGGTCATTGTCCTAGACTCATCTCAGGTCGCGAAAGAGGGTCCTTTGGAGGAGGACGGATGGCAGGTCCAAAAGAAGAAAAAGAAGAAGAAGAAGAAGGACAAAGAGAGAAATATCGACGTCGAAGACCCCGAAGCTAAAATAAAGAAGAAAAAGAAAAAGGAGAAAGAAGAACAGGCGAAACATGAAGATGGTGATGTAGACATGAGAGAGAAGAAGGATCCAGAAAAGGAAGTACCTGACGTCAAATCCGAAGACCCCTACGGCCGAGTGAAGAAACGGGAGAAAAAAGAGGAAGAGGGAGAGAAGGAGAGCAAGAAAGCGACCAAGAACGGAGACAGCGGAGACAGCAGCAGCAACGGGTTCAGTCGAATCAAGTCGAAGTTTCGCACCAAGAAAAAAGACGACAAAATGTTCAGCTTGGCGGTGGTCGAGGAGGAGAACCTACAGCTGGAAGAGCAGGCGATGTCTTCCATGCCAGAGGACTCAGCGGTGACCGCCGAGTCAGCGAGCGAGTCAGCTCACGAGCAGACCCTGAGGAAGAACCAGACGGAGCGAGAATCAGAGGAGAGGAGCGGATTTAGCAGAGATAAGATTAGGGAAATGGAAGATAAAGAGGCAGCACGAGAGCCCAAGGAGTACGCGAGCGGAGGACAGTGGCTTGTCCAGGTTAACGAGGTCACGCAGACGTGTGACGTCATGAGGATGGAAAACGATGACTATGCGGATGCTTTAGAGGTTTGTTTTTATGCTTTGGTTTTGTTATTATCGTTTTTATTATTATCATCATTATTATTATTATTATTATTATTATTATTATTATTATTATTATTATATCATCATCGTTGTTGTTGTTTATATTGTCATTACAATATAATAATAATAATTATTATTATTATTACCATTATTATTTATATAATTTTATTTTAAGAAGGCGAGAGAGAGAGGGAGGGAGGGAGGGAGGGAGGGAGGGAGGGATGAGTAAGGGGAGAGAAAAAGAGAAAGAGAAAGAAAGGAAGAGAGAGAGAGAGGGAGAGGGAGGGAGGGAGGGGATATATATAGAGAGAGAGAAAGAAAGAGAAAGAGAGAGAGAGAAAGGGGAGAGAGAGAGAGAGAGAGAAGAGAGAGAGAGAGAGAGAGAGAGAGAGAGAGAGAGAGAGAGAGAAGAGAGAGAGAGAGAGAGAGAGAGAGGAGAGAGAGAGAATAATAAGATATAGATCCAAAGAAATAAAAGAAACAGGAAAGCCCGAACNAGAGAGAGAGAGAGAGAGAGAGAGAGAGAGGAGAGAGAGAGAGAGAGAGAGAGAGAGAGAGGAGAGAGAGAGAAGAGAGAGAGAGGAGAGGAGGAGAGAGAGAGGGAGAGGAAGAGAGAGAGAGAGGGAGAGGAAGAGAGAGAGAGAGAGAGAGAGAGGAGGAGAGAGAGGAGAGAAGAAGAGAGAAGAGAGAGAGAGAGAGAGAGAGAGAGAGAGAGGAGAGGAGGGAGGGAGGGAGGGAGGGGAGGGAGGGGAGGAGGGAGGGAGGGAGGAGGAGAGAGAGAGAGAGAGAGGGAGGGAGAGGAGAGAGGGAGAGAGGGAGAGAGGGAGAGAGAGAGAGAGAGAGAGAGAAAATGGAGACAAAAATAGAAGTAAGAAAGAGATATAGGAAAAAAAATTAAAAAGACAAAATGAAAAAGAGAGAAAAATAGCAAGAGGAAAAAGGAAAGAAAATGGGAAAAGGAGAGACAGTGAAAGAGAAAGTATTCCCAAATCTATCTCTTCAGCTTGCAGGTCAGGCAGTCCATCCGCGTTCCTGTTCTTGCCTGTTTGCACCCACACCATGGTAGAAGCCAATGATGCCACAGAGACATCTTCAACATTAGTGCACCTCCATAAATACACCCTCCCCCCCCCCCAAAAAAAAAAGAAAAACAGAAAAAAGAAAAATTATTTATCAAGTCTTTAACAATGAAAATATAATAAGGTCAAGATTCACAAAAAAATGTGAAGAAAAAATGGAAAGGGACCCTTGTAAAAAGTACGAAATTAACAATTGCCATCACTGGGTCACTAAAAGTAGATGCACCGCAGGAGATCTTTTCAACAGGTTGTCTGGTATCGGGTGCCAAAAATGCCTTGTGCTTTGGGCAGGTCGTGTGCCAAAGAGGAAAAACAATTGCTCTCGATTGCATAACATTTTACAAGGATTCTGTAACTCAGATATTTTCAGATACTAGTTCTTTGAGACTGTATGGTTGATATGAAATTTGTGTAGTATCAAATCATACAAAAAAGGTGAAAAAGAATAAAACCTGTCTATATATATTAAGCCAGATGTTTGCTATGATCCCAAGTATCATTTACACTTTGATAAATACAACAAAAATACAAATACAAATACTACTGAAGAGCAATAACAAAGAATGCACACAAACAAAAGGCCTAAGAAAAATATAACAACCCTAGACTCTCCCACCATTCTGTCAGCTGATCAGGCTTGGAGAGAGGCCAAGCTGCACATGTGGCAACGAGAGCAGACGTGACCCATCACACTCTCCTCGGCACAGTCACACGGATATTCTGCACGCTCTGGCTTGATTATTGTCTGTATTGTGTCTCTCTGTTGTTGTCTTTTTTCTTCTTCTTCAACAATAACATTTTAAAATGTTTAAAATAACTTGAATATTTTCCGTGTGTGGGGGGGAGGGGATGTGTACATGTGTGTGGCACATACAACTGTATACATGTAAGCATGAATGCAAGTATACATGTGCTTTTGTATAAGTGCTTATCACACAATCAAGTTATAAGTAAGCAATATTTCTACTCACCCTTGTGGAGGTTTGGGTCAGCATTTTGTTGAAGCAGGTACTCCACTATGTGCTGCTTCCCACTGGAGCAAGCATACATCAGGCATGTCCAGCCAGACTTCAAGATCTGGTCTACAGCAATGCCTGTAAAAGTAATTCACAAGAAAATCTATACTTAAAACCCTGTAAAAGTAATTCACAAGAAAATCTATACCTAAAACATACTTTTACAAACTTTTAATAGTTCCGTAAATGGTTATGACAACATATGACCGTCTAATTAGCATATATCTTAAGTATACATCATCATTAATAGTGGCCCTTAACATGACACATTTGCAAAAAAGTTTATATCTCACTTATAGATAATTATAGATATTTCTCTTTATAGCAGTATGATAAAAAAGACTCCAGGAGAAAAAAATGTCAAAGAAAAATTTATTGCAACACTAATGGTGCTGAAAGCACATGGGGTAATAACACCAGAAAACTTTAGATATCAGACAATAAGCATCACAATACAGCATTACAATTTGTAAAAGGAATTAACAAACAACAGCCAGTCTCTAAACATTATGAGGGACTTTACAGAGAAGAACACAGAAAAACATATGCAAAGGATTTCACTGAACATCAATGACAATATTTGTAACTTGTGCTTGGCAAAAAAAACAGACAGACAACAGACAACAGACACACAGACACACAGACAGACAGACAGACAGACACACAGACAGACAGACAGACAGACACAGACACAGACACAGACACACACACACACACACACACACACACACACACACACACACACACACACACACACACAGTGTATATCCTCAGAGCATAAAACTGTCATGTCAGAATTAGCATGCTGTCTCCAGGTGCACTCATAATGGTGAATCTCCTTTACATCAGCATCACAATTCTAGTAATCCAAATATAAATATTCATCCTTTATTACACAAGAAGGTAAAATACATAATAACCTGTGCAATAACAAATGAAAAATAAATGCAAATTTTGGTTTTCCTCTCCAAAAGGAAGTAAAGATGTTAGAGAGAGTAAACACCACTCATCCTAAATCCTTAGAGGAAAATGAAAGAAAAGATAAACAAATGAATAAAAAATAGAATGAAACACTCCATCAACACAAACTAAAGAACACATAAACAATTCAGATGAACCTTAAAGCACCCTACCTACCCACCCAAGAACAGACTCTCTACCATACAAAATTCTTTGTGTCAGTAAAAACTACACAAACTTATTATATCAAAATAAGTTTAAGCCACTGTTTTTCTGAGTGGTATCTTCTATCATGATCAAAAACACTTTTCCAGTAGTTCTTAATAAAACCATATACATGCAACACCTTACAAAATCCCTCACCAATCAACACCATACTAAGTCGAATAAGCTGGCTTGTATAGTCTAATTTCTAGTCTAGTAACACCAGGTTATCAAAACTGGTCATATATGTCTCTAGTACTGTGAAGATATTCCTTCTTATTCATGCATTTTCTAAATCTAGCACCCACCTTGTTTGATCAGTGCTTTGATGACAGGGAGGTTGCCCTGCATGGCAGCCATGCGGAACTCATCCAGGGGCAGGGAATAGCCCTCGTGCATGCGGTGCCGCCTCCAGGATCCGCTTGGGGCTGGACTGTGGCTCTTGCGCGAGCACCAAGAAGGGGCAGGGCTCGGGGCTGAGAGGAATGCAGGAAATGTGGCTTAGTGGACCCTTTGTGAATTATTTTATTACACTTTGTGGATTATGTGATCTTCCTATGATATAATGATATAATGAAGTCTTAGCAGAACCAAGAATGAATGATAAGTCAATGTAAATCTGGTGTAATGTTATTGCATTATCATTATCAATAGCGATTCTGCTCACTCATAAATAGGCAACCTTATAAAACAGTTTTAATGGTGTAATATAATAATCTTCATTCATCACAATTAATAAAACATGATTAATCAACATAATCTTCAGACAGCATAATAGTAATAGAACAATGAAATTAGGAGCATACTCTCCTTTTTTTTCATTACCAAGAGAAAAATTATGAAGGAAAAGAAAGTGCTGATGATGATAAAAACTGATGGCAACACAGACAACACAACACACCTTTAGAATACCCATACCCATTGTAGTACCCGGGCGAGAGGGAACTGTAT